TAGTATTACTTACAGTGGCACCACCTACAGTGAGAGGTAGGTGGCTAAGATGTTGTTTTGCCTAATTAAAAAGCGAGGAGGTTATATGACTTTGCCACAGTGGAACTGGGCAACTGGGAACTGGGAATCACATGTAGATTTAAAAAAAAAAAAAAAAAAAGAAATTTTTAAAACCACAATGCCTGCACTCATTTTGAATGGGACTTGAGCTGTGTTAAAAAATAGAATTAACAGAGTATTTATATGTCTATATAAGTAAGGCAAGTTATAATACTTCAGAAGTGTCTTGTGTTTTACTGTATTCTGTTGGCATTGCTTCTTTTCTTTTATGAAACTGGAGGTTTGTAGGTAGTTTGGGGTTAAAAAGGAGTCCAGTGTTTCTAGGCAGAAGTAAACCCTGTGTTGGCTGCCTCTGATTGACATAGTTAGCTCCTGTCCCCCCACCAAAGTTTTCTATAACCAGGTCGTGTTATGTTTGTTAATGTGAGTATGTGCAGTCATGTGTCATCCTGCCCTGATTTGAGAGTAACTTTTTTGAAGGAGATTTTTATACATTCAAAGTTACAGTGTAATAGAGTATCTTCTGTTCTGCCTTGCTGAGTATGTGAAGCATGACAAAGGTGAAAACAGGGCTTTTCACATTCAAAGCTGAGCTTTGGAGGTAGACACCAGACAAGGGCACTCATCGCCAACGGGTGTAAATTCCCTTCCATAGTTGTTTCTCGGGTTTCGTTTTTTTGCCTTTTTTTATTTTTCAGCAGTGACTAGCTGTGTGACTGATCAGTTGTGCTGCCCAGAGCTCTGCACAGCAGCTCACAACACAGGCACCTCTTGTCACTTCAGTTGATGGCACAGAAAGTGTGTTCAGGTTTGGGAGAGCCCCAGTTACACACAGAACACTAACTCAGAGGACTTGCACTAAAATCTGAAGGTTATTGAAAGAGTGAATTTGGTGTCTTCTTCCTGTACTTACTCAAGATGCATGGAATTTGTTCCCACATCTCATTCCAAGTGTCATAAAAATTAGGACTTGTCTGAAGGAGGACGCGGTTTGCTCTGCGAGAGGGTAGGTGTGTGGTGGCGCTGGTGGCAGGATTCAGAACATCAGAAGGGAGTATGGTGTGACCTAGATACACACTCTGAAAGAGGTCTGGAAAAACATTTTCCACCTATTTTTTTAATCTCGTCCACCTGACTGTGGTCAGGGCTTGTGGGCCAATTGCTTCCAAGCTTTTGAACTGAGAAACATTCCTGACCCTGAAATGGCAAAGAAGAGGCTTTCAAGTAGGATTTCTGCTACTCAGAAATACTTTATTCTCTGGATCTCAAACTTTGAACTAACGGAATATCAGTAGGCTCCTTCTCCTCTTAGTGTGCTAACAAAAGCAAACTGAGGCCACTGTTTTATTTTTATATTCAGCAGTATTGTTGCCTCCTAGACTTCAGAGTCCTTCTTTCTGTGAGCAATTGTTTTTATTCTCCTGTATGAAACAGCTAACGGATCTTCAGCTGCACATTCCATATTGTCACGAGCTTTTTGCATCATAAGCCCAAATGCTTTTTTGTCTGCCAGTTACCACAGTCTCTTCTGTCTGTCGTGTTTGTGCTGAGTTCTCATTGTCATCTCTCCAAGCATGGCCTTAAAGAAAAACTTATTTTTGTTATCATTAAATTTGTATGAGATATTAGTTCCTGCTGGCCCTGATAGCTTGCAAGTGTGCTTGCATGTCTTCAGTTCTTCCTGCTTTTTATACTCTCCATGTTTTCTGTTTTGTCCTGCCTTTACTGAAGTCTCTTTTTAAAAGATAATATAGCATAATCTGGAAAGTGGTGTTTTGCTCAGCCTTCTGTTTTAGCCTAAAATAATGTAACAGATTTTGTTTTCATGTTTGCCAAGTTACATTTCTGTCACTCCTTTAATGTGCTCTGAATTTGCTCTGCTATCAAAAGCCCTGCCTTGACCGTGCCCTTCAGCTCATGTTCCTGTAGTTCAAGTGCCCTTTGTCTCATGCAGATACACAGCCAGCTGAATTGGCTCAGTGCTCAGGCAGGGAGATGTGTGGGTGCTGGTTGTGTCTTGGCAGGGGTGGTGCTTGAGATTGGTGAGGTAGCTGTGGGGGGACCCAGTGCCTGGGTGCAGTCACACTGGGTCAGAGCACAGTGCGTGGGACACTGGTGAGGTGTGAGGGGAGAGCTCAGGGGCATATGAATTCACAGTAGTAGATAGAGGTTAAATAATATCTGAATTTGTGCTGCTTCTTGAATGAAATGTCTAAGCCTTCATTGAAGTTTTGGAAATAAAAAAAATCTTCCCTGTAGCTTACACTGCATCTGCCTTTAAAGTTTTGTCACTTGTGACTTGCAGTGAAAGTTCATAGTCCCTATAGAAATATTATCCAATTAGAAGTAAAATTCCCCAGTTCCTTTTGGGTCATTGTGAAATAATTGTTCTAAAATGAATCTAAGTGTGTACAGATTGTATTTTGGGAGAGTTAATTACAAACTGTGTGGTTCAGGGATTTAGTGCAAGAAGAGGAAGAACAGTTGATGGAAGAAAGGAAAAAGAGAAAAGAAGACAAGAAGAAGAAGGAAGCTGCTCAAAAAAAGGTAGAGCAAACATTAAAAAATAAACCCCTGTGCTAGTGGGTTACTTATCTTTCATTACTACTAAAGACTGTTTTAGCTGCTGTTATTCAGAAGTATTTTCTTGTTAATTGAGTGGTTTAAGCTTTAAATGTACTGCTAGTTACTCAGTGGTACCAGACATGCTGAACATCTGAATTGGCTTTGTGTACAGTTTTTTCAGAGTCAAAATGTTTTTCTGAGATGACCATTCTTTTTCCTGATTGTCAGCTGAAATGGTTTCAAGTTTGAAAACTTCCTCAGTGTTAACACACTTATTAGTAGAATAAAACTACCAGGTTTTTTTAAAACAATGTATTCCAGCTGTATCCTTAGTTTAATTATCTTCTTACTCTTTAGTATGGAAATATACCTGTCATAACATGATTTGCATTAGGGAAGGTAGATACAAATGAAGCTCTTGGCAGCAGAGGTGTTTTGGGATGGAAACATCAGAAGTGCTTGTAAACATTTGAGAATTCCTGTTTCCTGTCAAGATATTAATGATGGCCCTTGATTCTAAATGTTGACCCTAATGGTGAGAGGAGCTTGTAAATCTGTTTTTAAAAACAACATGTCCATTTCAGGCTTGTGTGCTAACTGGCAGTAGCAAAGTGAACCTGTTTAACAGTTTGTCTTTTTTCCACTAATTAATATTAGATATATATAGTAAAAAAAAAAAATAAATCGGTAGTCACCTTTTCTTGTTTCCTGGCCTAAATAAAATTGTTCATTGTGCATCTGTGCAAAATCAAGTATGTCTAATCTTGCAACAAAGCTGAATGAAATAGCGCTGGAGGAGTGGTCTGAGGGAGGTGTTTGCTCTTCTTTCAGACTGAGAGGTTCTTGGCAGTAGCTGACAGCAAAGCTGCATAATAATTTTTGGACCTCAATTTTAAATTTATAATTTTCCTCTTGAAATTATTTTTTTAATAAAAATTGTAATGAGAAAGAAATTTGTTTACATGTAGAATTTGAGTCTTCTAAATGACTGGTTCTTAGCTGACTCCTTGAAAATTCACTATTTTGAAGAGTCTGAAAAGGCATGTTTGAGAGTGAAGTTTGTAGAAGAAATAAAAGCATGAATATTTTTTTTGAAGTGACCAGACCATTGCCTAAAATTAAATTTTGCAGGAGGTAGCCTTGTCCTGCAGCCCTTTCTCTTCAGTGATTTCTTTGGGTGCCATGGGTAGTCAGAAACAGCAATATACGCCGCAAGCCATTGGCTTTATTTGTGCTTTCGTCATTCCAGTGGCTGGTGCATCAGAATGGATTTCCTTCAGAAGAGATTTTGCACTCTTCAGCTATTTTTAGCAATCTCTAAGACCATAAATAAGAAATGGAAAAGCCAACACTCAGGCTTTCGTAGGAGCGAGAGGCTGCATTTTGAACTGCTGGACAGTGTAACTTTTCTGTTCGTATCCTCCTGGTTTCCTGAAGGGAAGGGAGGCCACAGCATTGCAGAGTCATCAGTGAGGTTTCAGTAGTCAGCCCTAACAGTGCTGATGTCTGAACCCAAGTTGTGCATCAAATCAGTGAATCAATACATTTGCCTTTCATTCATGCAGTTTTTTCCTTCTCATGATTTGAATTCTAGACAATCATAGCTTAAGTATTATTGCAGATTTATTGCATGCTATGAGTATATGCAGTATCCTAATTTAATTGGGTCATATACAGCAACTCAAATGACCATATCAAATTAATATCATCTTGCTTTGACAACAGTGCATTTTAAAAGTCCTAATTATGAAAACTCAAGTTTCAGTTACAAAGAACTCTGTTTTTTTTCTTTTGAGAGATCCTTTATGAAGTCAGCTTCCCTGTTTTATAGTTAAAACCACACAATTAAGGTGTATTTCCATACAATAAATGTTTCTCTCCCCTTTTTTATCCTATGATAAATTTTTATTCCAATGGATTTCTCACCTTGGCTCTATCACAGGTGTAACCACTTAAATCTTGGAAATAAAAGGCTTAAAGCTTTAAAATTTACTTTCTTACTTCCTTTAAGTTTCTAGGTCCCTCCCTCTTGCCCTGCTGGATTCAGCAATAAAAGTCAGGGAGGTTCCTTGCTCCCAGGCACAGTTTTAACTCACTTCAAACATCTTAATTTGCAAGTTTAATTCAGTCTGTTTGATGTAGCTATCTTTCAAATTAGTTTTGTCTTCTATAACATTTAAACAGCTTTCTAGGTGTGAGGAATAACAGGCCCAGGTTGGTTAGAGAGGCACCTCTGAAGTAGATAATTAAATAACTTTAAAACATTTTTAAAAGAGGAAAGTCAACAGCTAATGTTACTTTATGGACTGGCAGGTGCACATGTGGGTTTTCTCTTATCTGCACAAATCGCTGACACTTCTTTTTTCTTCTTCTAGGCCATTGAACAAAAAATCAAAGGTAAGTTACTTTAGAGTTATTTCTATTCTGTATATTATTTCTGCATTTTAAAAGATGTTGAATCAAACAGGTCACTTGAACAATCTTCTCAAACTGAAATATGGGATCCTTCAAACTTCAGTTGCACTTTTTCAAAGAGTGGCCACAAAAGACTAGAAGAGTAATGGCTTAGGGTTTATTCCAGGGATTGGAACCTTCTGTTTTTCCTATTTTCCATTCTTAATTACTCACACAGCACCAGGCGTATACATAATGCCTTGGGTTCTTTTCTCTATTTGCCTTTTTCTCGTGTTTGACAAGTGACACTCCAGCACTTCCAGTATGACCATGTCTGTATAGATCCACATAACGGATCTGTTGAAACTTAATTTCCAAATATTCTAAGTGCAGCTGAGGTAGAGAACTCTTGATAGATGAGTAATGGACACATCTGGTTTTAACTGTTGCATATGGAGGGTTCATCCTGACAAAATGATGGAGATGTTGGTGTCTAAATTCCAGTGTCCAGGGGCAGGCTGGGAACACTGTAGGTACTCTGACTGGGTTTATGCAGATCTCCATTCCAGCTGGCTTCCATAAAGGGGAAAAAAAGGTTCTTTTCACTTTCTTTTTAATTCTAGCACACGACCTGTTAGTTGGGAAGTGGATAATAATTGCATAAATGATCATGTGGAGTGCTTGCTGAATCCCTGTTTTCTGGGAATCTTTGGTTTAATTTAATACTTGAGCAATGGTAGAAAGTGGAACTGAGAAGCCCTGCTTAGCAGAGATGCAATTACCCTTGGAAGAATCAAAACATGTTTGAAGTGCTGTTCTGGCATGAAAGTAGTTAAATGGTAGAGGACATACTGTGCTTGAGAAGAGGCAGAGAAACAAATGGAAGTGTCCAGTGCTGAGGGGTGTGTTGGAAGGAGCATCCTGGTTGGCGTGTGGTTGGGATGGAGGAGGCAGGTTCTTTGCAGAAAACACGTACCAGTTCTGCCGAGGGCTGCAATGCCAGTCACCAGGTGTTGGGGGACACCTTTGTGTCCATTTAGTGCAGTGTGGACTTTGCTGTGTGTGTTTCAGTGGAAAAAAAATAGTAGAGTGAGTTGGATGCTGAGGTGTTGGTGTGTGATGCTGTGTGGGGGGAGCGGCACAGCCTGGCCCCGTGTCCTGGGGGGGTCTCTCTCCCCCGTGCTCCCCAGAGGCTGGGGTTGGCACAGAGGGTCAGGGTCAGGGCAAAGGGAGCTGCAGGGCTGGGTGGTTGCAGGAGGGTTTGTGCCCATCCCTGCCATGGAAGCTGACAGCCCATGTAGAGAGCTGGCCAGGGGGCTCATTGGACTGACGGGAGGCCCTGGCCTCCCCAGCCTGACTCTGGTCACTGCAATCAGTTGGGAGTTCTATTTGTCTTTCAGTGCAGGACTGGGTACTTCACAAAAGTCCTGGAAGAGTAATAGAATTAATAAATACTCCTCACTTGTTTTTTAAAGCACCCTTTTTCAAGCAGTGCATGGAATTGCATTTGAAGTACAGACTAACCTTTTGTTTTCTTCTGTCTATTCC